TTACACACTGTTGTAATACTCACTTAGTAGACTATGAAAAATCTCTCTTGTACACACTAACACCTCTCTCTCTCTCTCTCTCTCTCTCTCTAGTCGACAATGAGAAATAACTTGCATGAAATGTGCTCAAGGGATTGTTCTCCAGTCGACTATGAGAAATAACTTGCATGGAATGTGCTCAAGGGATTCTTTTACTCGAAAGCAATCAAGACATTAGCGCACTCCAGCAAAAAAACGGATGCGTATTAGCACAATGACTTAATAATAAGCACTACTAATAATATAACTAAAAATTGAATCTCATCTTGATGCTGATGACGCCCTTCTCTCTTTCTCACAAATACAACTCAAAATTTATCAAAATAGCACTCGAAAGACGAATTATTTGACATCTTAACAACTTCTTTGAATTTAATTTCACAAAACTCATAAAAAACAAGCTCTAGGTAGTGGTGGTTAGGGTGGTAGGTGGCACAATGTGTGTAGGATGGCGCTTCCCATAATGTGTTTAGGGGTGTAAATGCGAGGCCTCGGCCTATGCAAACCTAGGTCACGGCTGTTAGTATTTTTTATTTAAAAAATGCTTAAAATGTATTTCAAAATGACCACTTTGATTTTATTGTACTTTCTTAAAATACATTTGTAGAGAGAGAAAGAAATGTGTTTGAGTCTCACATTGAAGAGGAGAGAATTTGTTGAGCTATATTTAAGAGCACTATTTCTCATGCAATATACTTTAAGTACAAAGGAGAGAAAATGCACATGTGCGGAGAAGCATGTGACATGCACATGCGCGGGGCGAGGGCATTTGATGGCGTACTTGCATACTCGCATCGGTGCATGAGGCGCCCGAACACGTGTGGGGGTCGGGCTCGTGGCTCGTTATCTTTTTGTAAGCCTGGCTCATAAGGGGATCCAACAGTCATCTAGCCGTTGATTATGGGACGTCCAACGGGCATCTAGCCGTTGATGAGATAGATGCTTGTAACAGCAGCCATCAATTGCATGTAATTCATGTAACTTATAGTTGTTGGGATGCATGTAACTTATAGCTATTTGATGATGCATGTAACTATCGCAACATTAAATGAATAGTTTATTGGTACTCTATAAAAGAGGTCATCCTACCCATACGACTTAAAACACGTAGAACAATTTTTTGACCTCTCTCAATATACTATTCTCTACAATTCCAGCAAGCAAATCAATAGGCTAACTCTCTCTCTCTACTCAATCTTATCTTTTCCAGCAAGCAAATCAATGGGCTAACTCTCTCTCTCCACTCAATTTTATCTTTTTTTGTCTCTAAACTATCAAGACTCTGGTATCTATTGTGTGGGTTCCAAGCTCGGGTGTATAGAGCTTATGAACATTATAAAAGATCACTTTGTTTTCCTGTATCCCGAAGACAAATTGCTCTTCTTATACACATCAAATGATATATTGAAGGGGGGCAAATATCGTCTTGAGATAGCACTCCTGCGTGCCCGAAAACAAGAAGGGTTCTAAATTGATTTTTGCAAATCGTACCATTTTCTGCCGTCATTTCACCCATTTTTTTCTAACAATGTTATCAAACCTTGAATTTAGGCCTGCCCCTGCCCGTCGGGCTCTATCATGGGCTTGGACTTGGCCCATAAATTCGATTGGTTTAAAAAAAAAAAGACACATAATCAACAATTAGAATAGTTGATTTTTTTAGGTGTACTTTTTAAAAGAAATCTATACAATGAGATTTTTTTTTTTTTTATACAAAAAGGTGACAATTATCATTGACCATTAAATTTGAAATGAGTTGTTGAGGTGTCGCTTTTTGGGCACAAAATCATAATAAATTTTTTTTAATAGTATAATGCATTTTCATTAATGAGATTTTATATTTAACAGCTAAAAGCGATTGTGACATATTTGTAATAAAATAATACTATACAACCTTTAAATAAATAGATAAAATATTTAGGTTTGATATGATAAATTTGAAAACAGCACGCAATCATCCAACGGAAACTGGAAAAAAAAAAACAAAAAACCATCATCTAATAAAGAGTGCAAAAAAGAAGACCAATGGAAGGATGTGTCACTCTAGCTCATAAAGCATGGTTCAAATCCCAGCTATCCTATCCCTACCACTACAAAAGCTGAGAACCATTTATCTTTTTTGGTAAGTTAATAGGGAACACAGGCCCTACTTGGTTTTTTAGATAGATTAGGGAGGTAGTTTTTTTTTTTTCTTTTTGAAGATGTCAACAGCAGCAGAGTCTCACGATTGAAAACCACAACTTGATAACTAGGTACGAGAGTATGAGGGTGCTATCGCCATGACCCCCACTTCTGCAAAAAAAACAACAAAAAAACAAAAAAAAAAAAGCTGAGATTGTTAATTGTCATCCAATAGTTCGTTCTTTTGCTATCGCAAGCATCCTGATGAAATAGTAAAATTGGTACATAAAATTGGAATAGTGCTTCAATCAGCCACTTGGGCCGTGGGCGTCTTATTCACTGATTCAATATGTCATATTTGAAACTTCAACCAACTTCACTTTTATAGGCGTTTTACTTTTTGGGGCCACGGGTCTAGTCCTTTTATTTTCCTAGAGAGAGAAGGTGAGAGTAGTGTTCGATTTCACGAACCGGACCCAGATACCAGCTAAGGGCGGGGTCTGAGTAACTTGGAAACTCGCTGATTCATTCAGATTTAATCGGATAGGTCCCGGGACA